GAGAGAGAGAGAGAGAGAGAGAGAGAGAGAGAGCAAAATAAAAGACATAATTCTCTGTGAAAGAGAAAGAATTCATCAGAAATTTGAGACTTATTTCCCATTTTTGTCAGAAAACACTCTTTTCTAATGTAAGAAATAAAATGATTTATGAATTACAGTACATACGGGTTTCTTTGCTCTCTCTCTCTCTCTCTCTCTCTCTCTCTCTCTCTTTCATAAATAGCGCATAACTAGTGTTAAACAATAGAGACGATCAGGAATAACGGGGTGATTAAGAATATTCTGCGAGACATCCATTATATAGCCCTCACTCTGAGATCACTATTAAATAGCAATTATCTAACGATTACTTAACGATATAACGGGCGGCTTAAGTGCTCTCAAAAGCACATAATTAATAATTTAGAAATAATTTTCACTTTATTTCTTATACAATGTTAGAGAGAGAGAGAGAGAGAGACTCAAAATCAGCGACACACGAGTATAGCAATGCATTTGATTGTATGAATTGCTAAATAATAAATGTTTTGTGTATATAATAGTGATCACAGTATTGTATTTCATGTATTGTTATTATTAGTATTATTATTAATATTATTATTCCGGTATTAATTGTAGTGTTAGATATTGTATAGCAATATATCATAACATAATGAAAATATTAATAGTAATTTTATACATGTATGTAATTTAAAACACTTATTTTAAATAATTTAAATGATGTTTTTACAATTAAACCTGATACTTTGTTTAAACATTAATTTAATATTACATAAAAACAATTTATTATAATAATTGTATTGTTTAAAAATGTATAATTAACACCCTGACAATCCTGAATTACTTGTTGATAAATTTTTACTTACACACAAAAAACAAACAAAAATAATCCTGATAAATATATTTTGATTAATCGATTAATTAAATTGGATATTTTGAGTGAACTTTTTATTGGCAAACAATAGACATGTGTGCACACAAAAAAATATATACACTGTACACTTTATTTAAGTGGGTACACTATAATTGAGTTAAGTATGAGTTGGTGTGAACGTGGTTTGAATGATTTCTAATCGATTGTGATTTTTATAAATTAAATTAAACGCTATTTTGTTTGACTCTGCAATACAATTGGACAATAACTATATATAAATTGTAAACATAATTAAATAAACAAGATTAAATAACAGTATTATTTTAATTACAATTACCAAATAATTAAATTAATTGTTTTCACCGCTTTATGTGAACACAACATAAATAAAATTAAATGATTATAATTTTCTACAACAACTTGACTAATAAATAATATGTAATTTTTGTATTCATATAAAACAAATTGTATTTATTTTATAATAGACATGATATATAAATTTTAAATCATATTTAATGTACCCTTTGTTATAATGAACTAAACAGGGTGTTTATTAACTACAAAATTAAATTAGCCAATTTAAATACATGGATTACTATATCAGTGTTTAATGGTTGTTCATTATAACAAGGTGGTTTTAACATGAATAAATAATGTCTAAATATATTACCAAAAATAACCAGGAACCTAATATTGTAAATTAATAATGTATTAAAGTATTTCAATAAACATAACTAAAAGTATATCCTAAATCTAGCACACAAGTTTTTTATTTATAAGTAGGTCATTTAGTAATTTAGCTAACTAAAAGTAACCTAGTTTGTAATTTGCACAAAAAATAAATATCGCTGGATAACATTGAAAATAAATTTAAATAAGCAAGGTATAAAATAAGAGTATTATAATATGATGGTTAACAGAATATTCTTGAACACAACAAAATTGCACGTTATTTACTGTACAATAAAGTTTTACCAAAATTAAATAGAGCCGTAATTTGTGGATGACTCGTTGGTGACTCAATATTAGTCCTTACAGTCTACACTCGGTAAATAATACACCAATTAAAACAATATATAATTAATCACCATCATAAATTAATTAATAAAAATTATATTGAAATTAAATATAAACAAAATTACCACGATTCTAGCACTCAAACTTAAATCGATAAACTAAAATACTAGCTAAGTATAGTGCGGGGGTGTTTACTAAACATTGGGTGTACGCATACGAGTGGTAAACAGACTGTAATAAATAATAAACGCTATTAAAAAATAGTAAACACAACACTAGTGTTGACGCAATCAGTAAATCATAGCCGCGTTTATCAACGCAACGGCCATTCAATACAACACTACTACTACTGATCGCACATATTGTACGGCTATTACTACCTCTACTGACACAACACGTGTTCAGTCAGCCGGTGGTCATTGATAGCGGTGTTGTGGATCAGCTGCTGATGAACTGAATACCAGGCGATTGGTTGTCACTAATCAAAGACATCTCATTATCACCACCACTACCATCACAACCACCACCTGATGGCCTCGTGGTTCACCGACATCGCCGGTAAAGCCGAGAATCTACTGAACGCGATGGACAAGTCGGCCGCCACTGTCCTCCACCAGCCCTCGCAGTCTTCCTCCACGACGTCCACCCTCTCCGGCGGCGGCGGTGGGGGTAATGGTGGCCATCGATCGGCCGGTCGTTACGATTACTATACCGCTGATGGCGGCGGTGCCGAAGACATGTCCGAAACGTAAGACCACTTATAAGATATATCATAGATATTGAGTGACTAATGATGTATTGTCTTGTCTTGGGATCAGATACTCGACGCATAGCATACGTACGATATCGTCGTCGGCGTCGTTGGCCACCACCGGCGGCAACAACGGCGGCGGTAATGGCGGCGGTGGCGGCAACGGCACCAACAGTAGCCGCGGTCACACCCGTACGTCAAGCTTCGAGTCCATCGGTTCCCGCGAGTCCTCCACGGCGTCGAAGGCGTCCAATGAGCGACAGTTAGACGACGAGACGCTCTTCGAGTTTCTTAATAATAAAGGTATGGTTTTGTGGTTTTATTCACAGTCTTTGTGACAATCATTGTGTGGGAACAGCTGTCAGCCCTCCCCCCGTAGTCTTCAGCAGTTCTATACAATTAAGACATGTTGTAGTCTTTTAGTTGATCCCATTATTACCACCACCACATGTGTTGTACAGTGTATGCACTCTTATCTGTTGATTGACTTAATTATGATCGCTAACCATCGCTGAGATAATACTTTGGTTTAACATAAGTAACAATATATTTGAATTTTATATTCATAGGCGAAGACATACCCGAAGAGAGCGCCCTATTATCGGTGTCCACCGGTGCCGGACATACCGGCGCCGCCCGTAAGGACAGCGGCGGCGAGTCGTCGTCCTCATCGGTGCGCGTGATGTCTTCGTCGGCGTCGCACTCGCCGTCGAGTCCGTCGCCACCGGCGGTCTCCCAACAACCCCATCATCCGCCGGACTTTGAGGGTCGGATCAAGTCGTTGACCGGCGAGATATCGTTTCTCAATCGGCGTAACATCGAGTTGGAGACCGACTGCAAGCGGCTCCAGAAGCGGGTCCACAATTGGGTTCAACAGATGAGCGCTTCAGACAATACGATACGCGAGTTGCAGTCCCGGGAATCCGATCTAACCGTACGTTTGGTTTTTGATGTTTGAGACACTAATTGAAGTGTGTATTGAGAGAGAGAGAGTTTAAAATGACATGCATTTTATACATGACTTGTTATTTATTTATAATTTTTGCATATAATTAGTATAAACCCCTTTATAGTGAATGTCAACAAATGATTACAAACACACTAATTGGCCGTCAATTTATTAGAATTTAATTGATGGTAAAACATGTTCCCCCGTTAACAGTATACACATGTTTTACCATATGCAGTATATTTGCATTTAAACACATAATTATAACAAATAAATACAAAACAATTAATTTTTTTGCAAATGATAGGCAAATCTGGACGCAAAGGACGGACAGATAGCGATACTGAAGGTGCGTCTGCAGGAGACGGACGCAGAGCTCGGCCGACGGCTCACACAAATCCAGACACTGGAACAGCTGAACGAATCGCTGCGGACTGAGGCCCAGTCGGACACCAGCACAGCGGCCGACGCTGTCGACGATCTGCGGCTACGTATCCGCCACTTGGAGGCCGAACTCGAGCGCGAGAGGGATGAGCTCCGGGCGGTTCAGACGCAGACCATGGCTCAGATCGGACGGCTCGAGGACAACCAGAAATCACTGGTAAACTGATCCCTAGTTTTAATGTCTTAATTAATTACTTTTTAATTTAAACGCATATTAATGTGTATATGTTTTTATCACACCCTTTACTTTTGTGTGTGTGGGCACAGGTGGACGAGATATCGATACTTCAGCGCCAGATAGCGGTGGAAAAGGCGGCCAACAGTGAGCTCGAGGTACGGGTGAAGAGCTCTCAACAGCTGCACCAAGACTTGGACCGCGATTACCAGGAATTCAAGGCTAAGGCGAGCAAAACCCTCGCCGACAAAGACGAGCTAATCCGGGCGCTCAAGTCGGCCGCCGACGGGACAGCGGACGGCGATGGTGTCGACGGTGGCGGCCAGGGATCCGATGACAGCGTACAGCGTGTGCTACAGTCGCAGTGCGACGCTATGGTACAGGAGATACACGAGTTGAGGGAAAAGTACGACACACTCCGCCGGCAGTACGACAGGTGTCAGGCCGAAGAGGTGACCGAGTTGTCGGCGCGGGTCGAGTCGCTGGGCGGTCAGTTGGCCGGCGAACAGCGCGCGCGTACGGACGCCGAGCTGGAGCTGAAACAGGCGCGCGAAGAGAGCCGTTACTATCAATCGGATTTGGCTCAGAGTCGCCAGTCGTTGGAGTCCCGCATCGGCGACAGGGATGTGGAGATTGAAAAGTTGCGCAAACAGTTGGTCAGCAAACGCAGCGCCGGCACCGCCGCCGCCAACGCCGAAGAATACGAGGAGCGGTTCCGCGCGTTGACCGACAATCTGATCCAAAAGCAAACGCTGGTTGAGTCGCTGTCGTCGGAACGCCACTCGTTGTCACTGCAGTTGGAGAGAAGCGAACAGAGGCTGAGAGACGCCATGGCTGCCGGCGGTGGCCAGAAGGGGGCCGAAGGTATGTGTACTGAGAGTGTGTACTGCATTTGTTCCCAGAGTTTGAATTATCTTGTTTTTTGGGGACTATAGTGGCCATAGGTATACACCATTCGCCGTCGTTCACGAATCTGGTCAACCGGAACAGCTCTGCCAGCGGCGGCGGTGGGGGTAGTGTTCGGCCACTTATGGAGGACTATCCCGGCGATGGACACGTCACACGTCGTGTGAAGAGAGCTTACGGTCAGATCGACGCGTTTAGGTATGAGTTTTTGGTTTGTGTTGATTATATCGGGAGTTAACTAATGATTGTCTGTTTTTTTGATGTGCAATAGTATACGTTTGGGCAACTTTTTGCGGGCCTACCCGTCAGCCCGGGCGGGCGTATTGGTGTATATAATTATTTTGCACCTGTGGGTGGCGTTTGTGCTGATTTACTACGAGCCCGAACAGCACGGCCCTAATTATCAACATAAAATGCCCGAGATGGTCACCGATTGACCCGCTTTTGACCCGATTTTGGCCGTTTTTCGGGTGCTTTTTGACCAGATTTTCTATTGAGATGTTTTTTGTTGCCAACGAATTGACTATTTATAAATATATATATTTTTGACTAATGTATAATTATTATTAATTGATAATTATTGATATTAATTATAAAAGTGAATAAGTTTAAAAAGTTTTTTTTATTAATTAAATGTAATTTATATATAATTATATTGTATTAATAGTTACGAATGGAAAGTGATTATTGAGTTTTAATTGTCGTTTCATAATATAAATTTTTTATCCAAAAATTGTAAATCTATTTATGAAAATAATTAAAAATAAGTTATTTAAAAATGTTAATCATTTTGTATCCATAGTGTTGCACACTGTTTGCGAAACATTAATGTAAAATGAGTGCACAATTTTACCATTTTATTTTTTATAGCCCAGTTTATGGCATAGTTATGCCACTCTATTGCCAGTTATTTTAGCCATAGGTTTAACACATGTTTTGAATCGGTTTTCTATACGAAAAATGTTTTGCAAAATATCTATGGATTTATACAAAAACAAAATTTAGTATTAAATGAAACAACAAAAACAAACTTTATTTCAAACAATTTCTGACATTTGGTTTTTATTATGCAATTTGTTGTATACAATAGCGAATCGTTATATACTTTTTATTTATGTACATTAGTTTATTCTGTGAATTCATTTTGCACGTAGAGTAACCAGCTTAAGTTCAAATACATTTGAATATTATTTGGTATAGCAGTTAACATTGGGAAAATATCACAAAACAAGTAGACATGAGTATTTTTAAAATTTACTATGCTCTATTTATTTCAATAAAACTTTATAGTTTACAAACTGTCAGCAAATATTTCAACCAAATATATTGATGATAAATAATTAAATGATTATTGTTTTATTGGCATTTAATATATACATGTACATACAGTATACTTTATACATATACTGTATAAATATATGATTGTATAATATATATATTTTTAACGTTTATATCTTTATGTTTTGTAATGAATTTTTGAAAGTTTTTAAAAATAAAACCTTACAGGACATTTGGTCACACTGATTATAGCTGCACTTCCTATTGGATTGCATTTGGTTTAACCAATGGTTTACTATTGTATACAAAATAGTAAAAACTTATGTATTATATTAAAAGAAAGTACTATTGAAATGAAAATACCATTCAATTGAGAAAAACAATGCGACTCTAAATGCCATTAAGATTGCATTGTTTAGTGACTCTCTTTTGTATGTCATTCAATGGCTCTCTCTCTCTCTCTCTCTCGGGCATTTTATGTTGATAATTAGGGCCGTGCTGTTCGGGCTCGTAGTAAATCAGCACAAACGCCACCCACAGGTGCAAAATAATTATATACACCAATAC